GAACAATTAACCAGTGGAAGAACCTGCCTCCAGAAGCGGTGAATGCTCCAACACTGGAGGTTTTCAAGAAGAGACTGGACAGCCATCTGTCTGAAATGGTATAGGGTTTCCTGCCTGAGCAGGGGTTGGACTAGATGACCTCCAAGGTCCCTTCCAACTTTATCATGATGATGATGATGACGATGATGATGACGACGACAGGGCAAGGAAGGCTTTTGGGTGGAACCAAGAGTGAGAAAAGAAAGGGAACTAACATTATTTGAAAAAAATACGGATGTATTTTTCGATGCAACGGCAAAGAACAGGCACAGGGGGGAGGCCAGGATTGGCGAAGGTGGATGAAACCCCAAAGGCCTTGAAAACAGCTCCCTTTTTGAAATGCAGCTGCAAAACAGCTGCGCAGAAGAGCTTGCCACAAAGAGGATCCCAAGAGATGCCAGACAGGGGATTTAAATTTCCACCTGCGGATTCCCCCGTTGACTCAAAACAATAGCCAGCCAAGAGGCGGTTGGGCAATCCAAGGAAGATCTTTCTTTTACCTTCTCGATTCGTGCCCCGTGGAATTCCTTCCTATTGGCGACTTTCCTTGGACAGCCGAGTAAAGCCACCCTGCTCCTTCTTCCGTGTTTTTTTTCCCCCTTTGGTTTTTGACTTTTGAAGAGTTGTGGGGTCGTCTGCCCCTCTCTTTGTATGAAATTTCCAGCAGGCAGGGTGTTTAGCAGCTGCAAGCCCAAACTCCGCTCCCCAAACCCAAAATGACGGGGGAAAGAAAAGATATTTTGTGATTTCATATTTTTGGGGGTCCATCTACGGATGACAGCCTTCCTTGGGCAACTGCAGGTGATGTTTTGTCATGTTGTCGTCCCGTGTGCCTACAGGTAGTCAGAATAAGTGTGCCTTGGTAAGGCCACACTTGGAATACGGCATCCAGTTTTGGTCACCACGATGTAAAAAAGATGCTGAGACTCTAGAAAGAGTGCAGAGAAGAGCAACAAAGATGATTAGGGGACTGGAGGCTAAAACATACGAGGAACGGTTGTTGGAATTGGGTATGTCTAGTTTAATGAAGAGAAGGACATGATAGGAGTCTTCCAATATCTCAGGGGCTGCCCCAAAGAAGAGGGAGTCAAGCTATTCTCCAAAGCGCCTGAAGGCAGGACAAGAAGCAACGGAGGGAAACTAACCAAGAAGAGAAGCAACCTGGAACTAAGGAGAAATTTCCTCACAGTGAAAACAATTAACCAGTGGAACAACCTGCCTCCAGAAGTTGTGGATGCTCCAACACTGGAAGTTTTTAAGAAGAGACTGAACAGCCATTTGTCTGAAATGGTATAGGGTTTCCTGCCTGAGCAGGGGGTTGGACTAGATGATCTCCAAGGTCCTTTCCAATGTTATTATTATTATTATTATTATTATTATTATTATTATTATTATTATTATTATTATTATTATTATTAATAATAATAATAATAATAATAATAATAATAATAATAATAATAATAATAATAATAATAATAATAATAATAATAATAATAATATAGTTGGGTCTCACTCCTTTCTTTCCAGAATTCATCCCCAAATCTAAAAAAAAAAAGCAAAACTATACATTTTGGAACAATCATAACCCATATTTTTGAACCATGCAAAATAATAATAATAACAACAACAACAACAGAACAGAATAACAGACCCGGAGGTCATCTAGTCCAACCCCCTGCTCAGGCAGGAAACCCTATACCATTTCAGACAAAGGGTTGACCAGTCTCTTCACATTCAAAGCTTGGGAAGGACAATATGGATATTTTTCCACGGAGCGACATCCACAAAGACAGATGCCTGGTTCCGTCTGGTCTCCGTGCCTCCAATTCAGCACTTGGCTAATGCATTTCCAAAGGCCACCCAGTCCTTCTAGGTAATCTTAGACTTATATACCGCTTCACGGTGCTTTTGCAGCCCTCTCTAAACAGTTTACAGAGTCAGGCCCCCCAAAATCTGGGCCCTCCTTTTACGGACCTCGGAAGGATGGAAGGCAGAGTCAACTTCGATTGTGTGAACAAGGCTGCAATGAATTTAAGAGGGAGCTCTCATTTTTTCCCCCCTGCTGTTGTAACTTCAAACAGTCGTTAAATGAACAACTGCTAATTGAGAAATGCCTGCATTGGGAATGAATGAAAACCGGAGCTGTTTAAACCGCGCTTTGATGCGTTTTTATCTTCCTGGTTCCAATCATGGATTTCTGCTCCCCAAATTCCTCAACAGTGAACTCATTTTGGGCAAAAACCCGCCCAACAACTGCAAAAAAAAAAAAAAAAAGGAGGGGGAAAAAACCGTTTTAAAAATCCTGCATCTGACAAGAGGAGAGAGAGAGAGAGAGAGAGAGAAAAGGAAAATAATTCCTAAGGATTGCTAAACGAGACAGGAAATGAATCCATCTGTTTTTCCAAGAGACCCTGTGTGGGTGTCGGTGAATGGCTGCAAAAGAATGGGAAAGAGATGACAGATCTGCCTAAAAGAGAAATCGGAATTTTTTTTCTGAGAAAGGGGGGGTGGAACAGAAAGAGGCAAACGTGGCCTTGGAAGAATGTAGAAAGGCAGAGAATCAAGAATACAGGGATAGAATCAAGATCACACGAAGCGTTAATACCACTTTATAACGCTTTGGTAAGGCCACGCTTACACTACCGCATCCAGTTTTGGTCACCACGATGTAAAAAAGATGTTGAGACTCTAGAAAGAGTACAGAGAAGAGCAACGAAGATGATTAGGGGACTGGAGGCTAAAACATATAAGGAACGGTTGCTGGAATTGGGTATGTTTAGTTCAGGGGTAGGCAACCTTGGCTCTTTTATGAGCCAAGGTTGCCTACCCCTGATCTAGTTTAAGGAAGAGAAGGACGAGGGGGGATATGATAGCAGTCTTCCAATATCTCAGGGCTGCCCCAAAGAAGAGGCAGTCAAGCTATTCTCCAAAGCCCCTGAAGGCAGGACAAGAAACAACAGATGGAAACTAATCAAGGAGAGAAGCAACCTAGAACTAAGGAGAAACTTCCTGACAGTTAGAACAATTAACCAGTGGAACAACCTGCCTCCAGAAGCAGTGAATGCTCCAACACTGGAAGTTTTCAAGAAGAGACTGGGCAGCCATTTGTCCGAAATGGTATAAGGTTTCCTGCCTGAGCAGGGGGTTGGATTAGATGACCTCTAAGGTCCCTTCCAGCTCTGTTATTCTGTATTCTGTAATATGAAAGCATCCTGGCCCTCCCGAAGCGAGGAAAAATATGAAGGCACTTGGGAAATGAGCTTTTCCCAGTGTTAGGTTCGGGAGGCAATTGAGAGTGATGGGAAATGTAGTCCGACCCGGTGAAGCAGAAACATGGCAAAGGATGATCTATCCTGGTGGAGACGAGCTCTGACTATCCAGGATCCACCAATTTCATTTCCCCGGCATCCTGACCGCGACAGCCACTTTCTATGTTTCCAACATGGTATTAAGCCACAAACTAACCAACAAATCTGGTCTCGGGCTCTTTTCCACGGCTTCTTTCGTGCGTGAGTCAGATCTGGTGCTCCTCCAGGGAGTAAAGCTTGTCAATATCCTGCTGACCCACCATGAAATCCTGATTCCAACTCAGGGTTAGGATAGCCCTGGATCGTGGCCATGGATAAGAACTGGGGGACTGGGTGCATAAATGTCAGGGGAAGAGCTGTCTGCAGATGTAGGTTAGGGACGGATCAGGGGCTCTGACAAGCCATGGTTTGCAGGGAGAGGCACCTCTCCCTTGTCTTCCTAAGGGATCATGGTTAGAAAGATTCAGGAGCAGGAAACAGGGTGGGCTGAAATATGTGAATCTGATGGCACCCCTAATTTAAAGGCATCCACCAGCCCCCTCCTCCAGTTTGCCTGCTCTCTTGATCAAAAGGATGGCATTTTCTGGGTGCTGCTTAGGTTACAGCCCCCTCCCCCGTGCACCCCAACGCATGTTCCTTTTGGGGGGAGGGAAACGGATGTATCTGTGATGTGAGTTGCTTGTGGCCCACCGGTGTCCTTGTTGCGCATGTGCTCCCTTGCCCACAATATTGGATGCTTCCCCCCCCCCCGCATGAGATGTGCAAAATGGCGAGGGTCAAAGTGTGGCTTAAACTGGGGGGGATCTTTTCTGCAGGGCGAGGAATGGGCTGGGGTCCATTTTGGATAAGAGAATTGAGGAGATGTTTTCCAATTTCCAAGCTGGGGTTTGTCTATATTTCTGGAATGGTTTTTTTGCTGCCTGCAGCAAGAAAGAAGAAGATCTCCAGAGCAATGTATCTCAACCGTGGCTGTTTGAAGATGCGTGGACTTCAACTCCCAGAATTCCCCAGACAGCTGAATTCTGGGAGTTGAAGTCCATACACCTTCAAGGGGCCGAAAAACACTGGTCCAAACCAACAGCAAGCATCAAAATACCCTAAATGGACTTCTTACCCATTGTTCAATGATGGTTAGTGATGGTTTCCTTGTTAAACCCACCCAGAGTCTCCTGAAATGGTGGCTATCGTAAATTCCATAAAATGTTTTAAAAATTTAAATGTGGTTGGATGTACTCCATAACTCGTCTTCAACGTCACCCTCCTGGCGGGGGAGACATGGCTGTTGGCATCACCCCAAGCCATGGTTCCTTGAAACACAGTTGATTGGTTAAGGCCCAGTTGGCATGAACTCACTCCACATACTCACTCCCCTAAGCCATGATTTGCAAGCCACCATGGATGGATTTGTCTTCCACCGAAAAGAAAACCCACCATGGTTGAAAGCAGGCTTATGGTGGGCCTTAAGGAAGAACTTCCCAGCTTGGTTGGACGTTGGAAAACATCTTCTTAGCTTTCTCTTCTTCCATAGTCTTCCCTCTTGCTTTCTCACTGCCCAACACCTGGCCAGGTGCTCCTGGGGAACATGGGGGGTATGTTTTCCACCTTCTTCTCTGTCTGGACATTCTTCCCTCTCCTTTTTTCCCTCCCGTACAGCTAAGCCAATACCCTCACCTGCGGGAGGAGATGGAGCGGATCGTGACCACTTACATCCGGGACAGAGAAGGAAAGACCAAAGACCAGGTATGGCTCACCTGGAGAAGCTTCCCATTTCTGTAGCCACCCAACTGCCACCTTCCAGAGGGACCCCTTGGGCTGTTTTTCATTTGGAGTCCAAATGGAGTTCTCCCCCAACAAAGCCCAGGCCTTCCTCCTTAGGGAAGTCTCCAGACAAGCTGGACTTCAACTCCCATGTTCCCCTTCCCTGAGGGTTATAGGAGCAGAAGAACCACACTTTGGGAGGCTCTGATGGAGTATTCTGGCCTTAGTAACCACGAGCTTAGTATGGAGATGTTGATGAAGGTCCTTTTGGAGGATCGCAAATGTTTCATCTCTCTCTTGGCATGGTTTTCGTCCCCCAGGTCATGCTTCTGATAGACATTGAGTTGTCCTACATGAACACCAACCATGAAGACTTCATTGGATTTGCCAAGTAAGACTCCTGGTCGAAACGTACTTCTTAGAGTCTATGGAGATCCTCAGTCCTCCAGGTCATGGTTGTCCCAAAGGAGCTTTTTCAGAAGACATCTGGACTTTTCTTGCTTCTCCTCCAAGAAGCTTCTTCAGCTCTGACCAGATGGTGGGGAATGGAAGGATTTATCTCTGTCTGTAAGGAGTATAAATCCTTCCATTCCCCACCATCCAGTCAGAGCTGAAGAAGCTCCTTGGATGAGAAGCGAAACGTCTTCAAAGAAAAACAAGGAAGTCCAGTTGCCTCCTGAAAAAAACACCTCTGGGATACTTCTTAGAGATGACTTCAGCCCATCCTTTTTGGTCCTGAAGTTGTTCCTCTTGAGAAATTTCACCCAGAGGTTAACTCCGTTTTATTATCCGCCTTGTAGGGAAAATGGAAAACGCTGTTTTTCCGGAGGGCATATATAATGTTTTAGGTTTTTAATATATTTTCATACCCTTCTGTAGCGTTCTTGTGTTTTCACGGGGTTGTGAGCCACTGAGAGTCTTCTCCCGAATCTGGCAGGAGAACCAACTGATTACAGGCAGTCCTTGACTTACAACAGGTTCATTTAGTGACCGTTCAAAAACACTTCCCACCTAGCTTTGAGACTTTGGAAAAAGTGCAGAGAAGAGCAATTAAGATGATCCAAGGCCTGGAGACTAAAACATACGAAGAACGGCTGCGGGACTTGGGTTTGGCTAGTCTAGAGAAAAGAAGGACTAGGGGGGACATGATAGCAGTCTTCCAATATTTGAGGGGCTGCCACAAAGAAGAGGGGGGGAGGTCAACTTATTTTCCAAAACATCAGAAGGCAGGACGAGAAACAATGGATGGGAACTAATCAAGGAGAGAAGCAACCTGGAATTAAGGAGAAACCTCCTAATAGTGAGGATAATTAACCAGTGGAACAGCTTCCCACCAGAAATTGTGGGTGTTCCATCACTGGAGATTTTAAGAAGAGATTGGACAGCCATTTGTCCAAAGAAGAGGGAGTCAAGCTATTCTCCAAGGCGCCTAAAGGCAGGACGAGAAGCAACGGGTGGAAACTGATCAAGGAGAGAAGCAACTTAGAACTAAGGAGAAACTTCCTGACAGTTAGAACAATTAACCAGTGGAACTACCTGCCTCCAGAAGTGGTGAATGCTCCAACACTGGAAGTTTTTAAGAAGAGACTGGACAGCCGTTTGTCTGAAATGGTGTAGGGTTCCTGCCTGGGCAGGGGGTTGGACTCGATGACCTCCAAGGTCCCTTCCAACTTTATTATTATTATTATTATTATTATTATTATTATTATTATTATTATTATTATTATTATTAT